AGAATTTCAAAGGCCCCATTTAGAGCACGACAGGATATCAGTGGTATCCACTGCTTCCATGCAACTTCGTTGTAATCCATGACTCTCGATTAATCTCTGCATAGTTGTAGCGATATTTAGTAGCCTTCTTTTCGAGAATGGTACGTTATTCTTATTGGCTAAAGTTTCAACAAAATTGCCATCGTCGGAGCTTTAAGTGATGACGGAGCTGTAGAAGGGTGCCTGGAATTCGATACCAATCTCGGAGGCTAAAACAAAAAGCTAAACTTCATTGTAGTTTGAATATGACAAAGAACGGAAAAAGCGCGAGTTCGCGGTATCGTGGGATTTTTGAATTTTCATGGCAAGTAGCGTGCACCGATACCATGCATCTGACGACTGGCATAGGTGCGTTAATCTGTCCTGCAAAATGTCATCTACAAAATGAAGTCTTCACAAAAGGAGGTATTGGGTTGCCCAGAAAGTTTCCTGGCGATTTTGACTCTCAGATTCAAAAGCGCATATCTTGTCGAACAAAGCGTCTTTGCTTGAAATAGGAATGAGTTCAACTGATTCGGATGTTGGAAGTGCTGGAGTTCTGTGAGCTAAGAACTCGGCGAAGGTCGTTTCACCACCATGTTGGGTTTCAATGCTCAATCTTTCTCAGTAGACCTTCCAGATGGTTGGAAAGTGATAGTTGGTAGGCAATAGGTCTAGTGTGTAAAATGTTTGCAGCACAATTTCGTAGCTCAGCTAGTTCAACTTGGAAGTCCGAGATGGGGTTGTGCAACAGTGGGTAGAAGAGCCGGCGGCACCCAATTTTCGACTTCTTTGGGCTTTTTACCCTCTATGTTTGGAAATCTTATGTCGGTTACCCAATTCAAAAGCAGCCTGTTCAACAGTTTCATGCAGATTGGTTTGGTCAAAACCCTCAGCTGATCTTTATCAGTCTCCGATATCACTAATCTCCTTCAAAGCTTTCAACATCGCGAGAAAGACATTTTGAATTACGACTGCACAGCGTAACTCTGAACCAAATGCTTAGTTGATATCGCAACTTGCTTCCGCACATTTCCGAGCAAGTTTGAGGGGAAACAAGAAACTAGTGCAAAGCAGGCTGTTGAGTATGTTGTATTCAAGACTTCAAAAAAGTGGAAAGGTGATTCAGTGTTGAAAAACAGTAGATTTGGATAGAGCGAGGAACGCGCTTTCAAGGATATATAAAGTGTTAGCAGTTTCTTGAAAGTGACCCGAAAATAAAGCATTCAAAAGTGAGCTACAAAAACGGCGGACAACTTTCTGAATAGCCTAATACATCTCTAGCGCTGTTTATGTAGAGCATTTCACAACTCGATTCAAGTATCAAGTATGATAGGACGTTTTGAAGGTGGGCACCGTGGCACACGAGTTCACGCACGCTCTCGGTGCGCTGCATATGCACATGCGACACGACAGAGACAAATACGTCAAAATCAACTTGAAGCCTGTGCCGGTGAGGTCACAGTTTCTCGAACGTTCATTGCTCTCTTTCAGGAACAAATCCTCTAAATAAGCAGGAGTATCACAGTGTCCATCTTTGGTAAGATGCCACATAATTAGGACCGTCAGTAACCCTTACAAAAAGACTTTGATTAAAAAACTGGTGAAAAAGGTGTGACACCAAAACGGCCCCACTGTGGTGTCACACCTTTTTCACCAGTTTTTCAATCAAAGTCTTTTGTAAGGGTTACTGACGGTCCTAATCATGAATATGGTACTAATTATTGCTAACTCCATTTTGCGCGAATTTTGAAACGTCAACTCGAAATGCAAAAATTTGTCACCACGAGGAATCGAACTAGGGACCCCCTTTTCTGGTATTCAGAGGGCCGTTCAGGAAAAATGAACCATGGTTCTGTGGTTCCCGCATGTGTATT